TATACCTATGTATGTACTGTGGACATCCTATATACATACATGTGGTAATTATTTCACATACATAGGATATGTAATATATATACTTTTCACATTCCGTGTATATACATACATTATACAATAGCCACATATGTATATACATAGAACATACATAGAATGTCCTAATGTTTATTGGGTTATGTCCCGAGTATGCCTATGAGACCTCATTCCATTTTATTATACGGCATGTAAATACGTACTTATATAATAATTAATGTCAAAGCAACCGGGGACAAAAATCACTTTAAAAGCATATAATACATTAATTCCGCATTCAAATATCTTGCAAAAATATGATTTCGACTTATTGTTAGTCAAAGTTTAATAAGACTATCCGTATATATAATGTAGAAAGACATAAATTTTACAATTTTCTATCAATTTACAGTTGTATAAATAAATGTAAAAGTTCTTTCCTTCTGTTTATCAGCAATGAATCCATATTGTCGCGCCCACTTTATAAATGCAAATTCTGCATAAATATATATTATTTATATAATAATTATACCGCCACACTAATTACATCAACATTTATACTGACTAATTGTTCTAGATATATTATCATATTATCAATGATTAGAAATTACGTGAAGCGATACATATGTAAATGCGACATAAATTAGACATAACGTATGTATCTCTTATGCAGGAAATGCGACTGTCAACAATTCTGAGCTCGACTTCTAATTAGTAATTAGGTTGCAATTGTTTATCGGTGGCAATCTAAATGAGGATATTGTCTTGAATTTCCATATGCATTATAATGCGAATATACCATAAATACCGGCCAGCGTTAATCTCATTCATGCATTCGCTTTCACGTGTCTATTAGCGCAGTTTAGTTCCGTTATATTATTGCGCGTATATATAATTGACTATACACTACACGAAAAAATGAGACATTTTCTACTTGTGATGTTAACTCTGTTGATGACAGCTACGAGTTTCGGCAAATTGCTTCTAGAGTATCAGTGGAAATACCTTGATCTTCTTTGGGACAGTCCGCAGCAGAAAAAAGACGCGATAGCCAGCGGTAGATACAATGCTAGCGCAGCATTTTTCTACGATGTAGATAAAGCACTTGGTAAGTTGACATTATTCAAACATTTGAAG